TTCTTTGTTGTGTCAGCAACTTCTGTTCTCACTCAATCGACTTTGTATGGAATCGTGAGCAACCATCCTAGATTGAGTTTAGCATATCGTTTTTTTTTTAATCGTTGATGAAATTGGAGTGTTTAACATAATATCATGACCAACAAATGTTAAAAAAGAGAAGCATCGATGATAATATATAATATAGAAACGGAGGGCTAATCTAAGGTCGAATGTTTTTTTTTTTTGTGTTTCCCATTATGTGTGAATGAGTATCAAATTTTGTGATTTATTAATTTATTAGCATGACTTCTTTAGCTTTGTTTAAGCAGGCAATTTTGTTTTTTTTTTTATATTTCATATGACATACTGAGAAAATGTATTGAATGTTAATCAACAACTAGGCACTGTAGGCTATTAGTTCAAAAATATTAAACACCCATCCACATTGTGCTAAGAATTGTGAAAAATCATGTTTACAAAATTCGTTTCCAAGGTCATCTACTTACTTAATAGCTAATAATACATTGTCCTAATGGGGAACATTCGGGTAAAGGAAATTTTATTTAAAATTATACCTAAAAAAATCCTCCTGCATCAGAAACATCACAAAAATATTACTCAAATTGCTATTGACACAATACAAAATATGCATTCCAAATTGATTCTCTATAGTTAGAAGATAGCAGAAGAGGTCCATGGAACCCACGTGTCCTATTTAGTGGACCATTTGTCTTAGATGGACTGTTTTCAAAACAGGTTAAATGTCATGTAGAGTTCAATCAAATATATTTTATTAATGCTAATACGTATTCTAATATTACGAGACATTCTTCAAAGCATCAATAAAGGAGTGCTTGAGTTTATTTAAGAATTATGATCATGTTCCAATGAGTGTCAAAAAATCAACAGGTCGTTTTATTCCCAGATTTAATTAAACTATAATTTTCATGCGTAATAATTGCCATTCCCGAGCATCCCGAGCAGCTGAAAATAACTTATGAATACCAAAATTTGATGTAGATCAGCATGACATAAGAGGTAAAATACTAAAGAAAAATTACCACTTTAGTCTGTTATTTGAAATTAGCATCTTCAACTATACAAAGAATATAACCAAAAAATTACATGCAAAATACGTTGTAAATATCAAATATTGATATTGTTTGGTATTGCATTTGCATAATTTTGTATTGGAATGGTATTTTGGATTTTTTAAGCATAATTTTTTAGTATTTTATCTCGATACCTTAGAATTTTTCCTGAAAGAATGTGTATTTAACATGCTTTTTAACTGTTTTTCTCTAAATCGAAATCTAAATCTATGGAATATATGGAAATATATTCCATAGAGTTTAGTAAAATTTGGGAAATTTATTGCCAGGATGTCACTGATACTTCAATAAAAAATAGTTTTAATTAATCACGTATTTTTCAAAACCCAACACCCCCTCCCCCACCCCCTCCAACCCGACAGAAATCCTTGCTGCTCCACTGATGTACAGAAATGACCTGAGTTTGTCGATCACCTTTTAGAAAATCTTTTATAATGTTCTACTAAACCTATGCGCTTTTTCAGTGCTCTTATTGCACCAAAGTATATTTTAAGGGGGGAAATAGAAGTAAAAAAAAATTAACGTTTTTTTTATATTTTACTTTATTTTTTTTAAATGCTACGAGCGAGAGGAAGGAGTGATCTATGGCCCCGGTATCGCCGATTAACAGTAAGTTCCAGAAATCATGTTTTTACACAACCCAAAACTTTAAACGCGTTTTTTCTCGAAACGGTGTTTTCCAAATTGGCGGGAAAGATAACTCAAAAAGTTCTCATCCAAATGACTTGAAACCTGGCGCATCTTAAAGGAAATAGATGTTTACTTGATTAACAATAAATAATTTTCAGGTCTGCCTAAAGTGGAAAAAACAGTGAAAAATCAACTTTTTTTTTCAGTTATATTTTTTTTTTTAATTTTTAAATCGTTTTTTTTTTTTTTGGTTTTAGAGGTTCACATAGAACAAAAATCTTTTCTGAATAAGGTCGAATTGATAAAAGTAAGCTTTGTCCATTTTTCAGGTCTCTAGAACGCCCACCAATTACCAATCCCCACTGGAGGCGACCTCCTTCCGATGTGACCCCAAGGAGCCACAGAGTTCACACACGAATGAAAAAAATCTCAAATGTAGAGGAAGATTTAAGCAGTTTAATGCAAAAAACCCCAAACGTTTGCGTTGTTTCAATTGCTCACAAAAAAATTCCGAAAATCGTCGAGTTTTTGACGTGTTACTTGTATTTCCCCCCTTAAACATAAATCTTAAAGATGAATAAAAAGTCTGAAACGAGCAAGAGCTATCAAAATCTTATTAATTTTACCCATTGCCATTTGAAAAGGAGTCACAAATTGTTGAGATTGGATTTACTTCGGCATACGAAAGACTGCAGTAAAAAATGAATTCGCTAGGAACACTTCTTTGTTTTTGAGAAAAATTGATGTATACATAATATTTTGCGTTCTTGCGTTTCGTAACTTTTGAACTAAAGTTATCGTACCAGACGTATTATTTATTCGTTCACGTGTAAATTATTGATATATTTGATGTTTCTGCTCGATTTGACGGAAATACGCACTTATGCTGAAGTAGTTATCTACCCTATGTTAAAATTTGCCTGGCAAAAAAAGTTTTTAACGAGTTTTTCCATCTCATCAGTCGTATCTTCACGCTTATACTCACCTCAACCGATTTATTGTAGTGCTGATCCTTACCAGCTTTGCAACTTGGGGGCGATCCACTTATTATATCACGCTGATTTGGGGAAAAATTAACCCCCTCTCCTCCCTTTCGTGACGTTTTTCCTATAGCTAATGCATTGTTTGTCACAAAATCATAAACACCCCCTCTCCCCTTAGAGCGTGACATAATGTGTGCATCACCCCTTGGTAACCATTCCTTTCCGTGCATCTATTAAATATGTTTTTGAACCTATTAAACTTGTTTTTAGTTTCTAATTATATTCGCAGCTTGTTTAAACTAACATTCATAGCTAAGTGGAATAAATCTGATGAGCACTTTTTACATTTAAATAAAGCAGAATGAGCATACATGCTAAAAAAAACGTAACAACGTACCATATTAGGGGAAAACAGTCCATAATGTACCCCTGGGGCAATATTGATCCCCTCTCGGTTTTTCGTTGTTTCCCCATTACTAATTCTGGGATTTTATGTGCCAGGATGCTAATTCTCGTACTGAACTACCAATGCTGCTCTTCAAATTCACGAATTCACAGTCGGAAAGCTATGAAGAACATTTTACCCCATGAGTGCGTTTTAGACCATGCTACACAACATTCTTTATTTCAAAACTAGCATTTTAACGTATGCAACACATCAAGAAGACTACGAACTCTTCTGTTTCCTTTTTCGACTACTATATGACAGACACAAACTCGTCATCATCTACCCATCAAAAGGTAAATACGCTTAAAACGAAACTAGCTAAGAGAGTGAGTCACTTTTACTCAGTTGTGAGTCACTTTTACTCAGTTGTGAGTCATTAATCATTCGTATGGAGAAATTTCTAAAAGCGTAGGTCACTCATCGCATAACACAAATAACATTTCAAGTTTTATTGTGGTTATAAAGCATGCTACAAGTCAAAACCCAAATAACATTTCAAGTTTTATAGTGGTTTTAAAGCATGCTACAAGTCAAAATCATGATGGGGCCTCATAACCTAGTCAGTAAAGGCACGGTATTACCAAGCCGGAGGCGGCGGGTTCGATTCCCCGTCCGGTCAAGGGAATCTTTCGGGTTGGAAATTTTCTCGACTTCCCTGGGCATAGAGTATCATTGTGTTTGCCACACAATATACAAATTCATGCAGTGGTAATTGGCATCGAAAGCTCTCAATTAATAACTGAGGAAGTGCATTTAGAACACTAAGTTGAGAGCACGCAATAAGCTAATATGCACTAAGCAATAAGCTTGAAATGCGAATAAAAAGAAAGGAGACAAGTCAAAATCATGGTATACAGAACCCTCATAAAACCAAAATTGTTACTTGGGAAGTGTGTTCTGAGTAAGGTTAATTTTCAGTGTGCTCCGAATGAATTTGATAGCAAGATGCCAGGCTCAAAAAAGGAGTTTTGTGTATTTTTGTTTTTTTTTTCTATACGTTGCTTCCACATTTGCTCAAGCTCAGCGCGTTCGTATCTGAAAAAGTTGTTACTATTCTTGAAATGATGTTTTCGATTTTTGTCAGCAGCCAGGTGTGGTCAAAAAACCTTCTAACGACCCGGATGACTTTTTCGAGCTGAGTTATAAAATGTCATACTAATTTGAAATCAGAGAACCTTCCTAGTATTGGATATGTTCATAATTGATTTATACATTATGGAATGACTATATCCTGACCGTATCATGAAATTTTTACAAAGCTACGAGTGGGTTATGACCTAATGTGATGTAAACAAGTGCGGCCGATGTGAATTTGTCCTCTCATTGGTTCTCCAGCTGTTTGAATTGATGACGGAGTTTGACGTCACACTCCATCAACCATTCAAACAGCAGGAGAACAAAAGAGACGGCAAATTATATCGCCTCATCTGTTTACATCACATTAGGTATACCCAACATGTAACACACGTGATGTGGAGAATGCTCCAAAGCCTTCCAGGATGCTTTCAAAAGCTGGCTATTCATGGCTGTAAAGGCTGAACCATCTGCAAATAAACGAAACACGATCTTCGCTGCAAACGGCCAACATTTCCATCCAGCATAGATCCACCCCACCGATCATCATGTTGTGCATTTTTTCCACCGTTCTCTCACACTCTCTCTCCCGCTCCTTTTGATGGTGGCGCGCGGTGTTGCTCTTGTTTCATATTCTTTTTTCGCTCTTTTCTATACCTGTGTATATTTCTTTATTATTTTTTTGTACCTTCTCCATCCAAAATCTATCACGCGGACCCCGCGATACATAAGCTACTTAAATAGTTTTTCAGTTGTTCGTTTGTTGTCAAGGATACTACACATCGTGGTTACCGAAGTAACGCAAAATACAAAACAGTTCCAGTCCGTTCGTCCACTCGTTTGCAAGGATCTACCCTGCGGGCTGCTTGTAGCTATCGTGTGTCTGCCGTGTACTTTATATCGTGTGCTAGCGTGTAGCAAGTGTTTAGATACCCTTCCTCCATCGGTTGGGTTGTGTATCCCTAAAGCTTGATCCTTATATCCCCGGTGGGTGGCTGGCGGTGTAGTACCCTTCGAACTCCTCCTCAGTGAGCGAGCGAACGAGTGAGTGAGTGGGTAGACTTTAAACCGAGCTCATGACCAATAATCATTTGATTTTGTGAATTACCAAGATTTGGTTCGGATTCCGGCTTTAAAGGATAACGAGCGCTCACCGGAGCCACACACGCCAGGACGAACCAGGATCGCTGGTGTGCTTGGAAGGACCGTCGACTACTTGGCATTTGTGCGTCTGAAATGGTGGACTTCAGTGTTCGGCAGAGTAGTTCAGTTCTTTAGTTCAATTCTATTTTTTTCTGTATGTGCCCTGTTATCCGAGTTTTCAGTTTTTGTTAAAATTCTAAGAGAAGAAAAATTTATCAGTACACAGTTCACAGCAAGTTCAAAAGTCTCAATCAAAAGAAGAAATTTAAGTGTGATAAAGTAAAGGAAGAAGCTCGCTCCCAAAACCAAGCTCAAATCGACAAAATTGTATCGTCGCAAGTGTTCTTCAAGGCAGAACGTTCCCCAGAAGTTATAAATTCTTCGGTCACGGTGCTATGATTTCGTAAGTATTTCCATCTACCTCCATCACACTTGAGAATTGCTCAAGATATAGTTATAAATTATTTATGAGTGAGAATTAATTTATTCTTCTAAGAACATTTTTCATTGTTCTGAAGCCGCGTGGATCTGTGCAAGCTCCGATGGAAATTTGTTCTGATTTACGCAAGCGAATCGGCGGAAACGAGATTTGAGAACTTTATTATTCGCAGACAAACAAACCGCTGGATCCATATGACCGCTTTGTGCCAAAACACACATATGTCCTGTCATGGTTCAGTGGCTTAGTTGAAGAAAAAAAGAGGTTTAAGCCGGTATGCTGTACCTTACAAGTCCAAGACTGACTGCTTCGTGAGTCAGTAAAGTTGTACCAGATACACTCCATTAACCTAGCAAGAAAATTTAAAAGTCAGAATGTTGAACTATTAGAAATCTACTTCTCCCAAGCTTGTGCTGAATAGTTCTATTGATCATTCATGTATTGAAAGATAGGCTATTCCGGTTCCGTATCCGATCCGAAAACTTACTTTTAGATGTGGATAAATAATGGATAAGTCTTTCCTGTTCAAAGTAGTCTGAATCAATATAATTTTCGACACCGGATAGAAGCCACATTTTAAATTCAGTTCCGTATGAACTCTACTATTGCCATAAACCTGTGACTGTCATTCGAATCACAGTTGCACCATATGTGTATTAAAACTTCTACTGAGTGGTCCTAATAGTGTTGACCTGTAATAATAGGGAACATTTTGAAAGCAGTCACAACGTTTATGTATTAACGCTCCGTTGACGTCTGATTGGCTGAGCCTAGTTCATTCCTACTGGTCAATCAGATGACTAGAAAAATCACGTGGTCTGTTCCACTGAATTATATCCCTTCCAATCGGAACCATTTCAAATTCAGTATGAATTAAATATGAGTAACGATCGCTGTTCTTTCTTCCTGTCATTGGCTAATGTACAGCGGGTGGATAATCGAGAAGTTGAATTAGATTTTATAGGTTGTGAATGTGAATGTGCCCTGAAATTGATTGACAGAAATCTGAAGTACAATCTGACAGCACTGCTGCCTCCTGGACTAGATAATTAAAAATAATGTTGACTGTAATTATGGTAAACTGAATACTACGTTAAAAAATTCCACAGTTATTTATTACGGACATTCTATGCCAAGCAATACACGAACGTTTATATTGATTGGCAAGCGCAATGGTACTACATGCATAGGAAATTCGAGGATATTTAAAACCCGAAAGATATTTTCGACCGAACCGGGAATCGAACCAACCACCTCCGTCTTGGTAGTACCGTGGTTGGACTGGACTAGCTGGTCTAAGGTCAGAAATTAGTACAAAGAGAAATCAATGGATTTTTATTTCAGAATCAATTTTATATAGTTAGCTCACTCTATTCTTTTCAAACGTAGATTTATTTATCAGGAATTTTTACCATCATGTTCATTTAATGCAACTTTAAAAAAACGATAAGAAAATGAAATCAATGCATAATTTAATTACGCTGCTTTTTGTATGTGATTTGTGTTATCTACAGAAAATCGAGCTGATACCTCCCACCGAATATAAGGAGGTGTTACTGTAGTATTAATTCCTATATATCGATACACATCCACTATTGACAGAGTTATAAATGGTTTTTTTTTTAAATTGCACCCCCAATATGTTGCAGAAAGACGTAATCAAAAAAAAAATATAAAAAAAAAGTTTCAAAAATCTAACAACATAGCCTCTAAATGAGAATTACTTCCATAATGCACAGAATACCAGAAGGCTCGTTAATCCAGACATTTAATTTATGACTAAAGATTACTTTTATCCATAATTAATATGATTCTGAACGGTACTACATGACCATGGTCAAATAAACTTGCTTTTTTAAGCTTAGTAGGCAGTGATAACTTATTTTTTAAAGTGTCCAGATTTATGGACTAAGTGTATAATGTTGATGGTTTATTAACAATTAATAAATCTGTTGCCAGTTTTTTAATATGTAAGTTTTATATTTGATAATGGCTTTTTTCAATATGTTGGTGTAATTTTGATAATTCTTACGTCAACTTTATGAAGAGTTTTGAGTGTGTTGGTTTATTTCCTTTAAATTCCGGTATAATTGCTAATATTTTGACAGATACGCGTATTTCGTCTATTACTTGCAGCCTTCATCAGTGCCAAGTGCTCAATTTTATGTAAATAAATAATTCAATAACTTATGCAATTTTTATTCAAGAAAAAGAATCCTTGACCAGACCGAGATTCGAACCCACCGCTTCCGACATGGCACTGCACCTTTACGTTCTAGGAGGCCTGCCCAACCTCTCTAAATTTGATTTTATTTAAATAGCTGTATCGTTGATCGATAACTATGTTTCAAAATGCATTTTGTTTATTTCTCATTCATTCTGGGCTAAATTCATAACGATGAATAAAATTGGGCTACAATGCCATCATTGCTGAGATCCACACACATAATAATACCTAATTTTACACGTGACGGAATCCATCTTTGACATAAGAAATGCGGCGTTAACACACAAGTCATGTAAAATTAAGAGCTGCGAGACTGAAAAGTTCGTTACTCGAAGAAAAGTACGTTTGATTGCGCTGAATTTCGCGTCTATTATGACTCAATTTGTCAAAATTGTCGCTCGTATATGTCAGTCTCAGAGCACCTAAATTTACATGAATTTTTCTAAGTGTGCAAAGAGCACGTCCGGCCCGCGGGCCACACGTTGGGCAGCGCTGGTCTAGGCTATCGAAATATTCAAACTTGCGATTATTACGTTAGTTCAGAACATCTAGACAATCACAAATCCCAGACAATCATCAATGGCTCATATTATTGCAAATTGATGTCAAAATTGAATATGTACTTTAACAAATCATGTTTGTATTACTTCATGTGTGAGATAACGATTTACATAGTTGGAGATGCTTAACGTTATATATAAGATTTTAAGTGGCCATTTTATGCGATAGATGAGGAGATGAAAGTATAGAGTATAGCCGTACTCTAACGGAACTATCAACTCTATACTTTCATCTCCTCATCAATCGTATAAAATGACCACTTTAAGTCTGATAGTTGACATTAACCATCTCCAACTAATCAAACATGCATATAATTTTTACAGAAATCTCAACAACTGAACTGCTCGGTAAAATTTCAGTTGATCGGTTAGATCGCTAAGGTATCAAGATTTGATCATTTGGAAAGGTTGAAATTATTTTTAAGCAAGCCAAATTATAGAGAATCGTAACATTATTTCAAATAATGTTTTATCCATACGCGAAATACTGCAGATCTTAAGAAATAAAACCATGCAGCAGCTATCATTGAGTGATACCATACCTGTCAAAGTTCCACCGCATTTTTTAAAATAAACTCAATATGGCGAAAACAAAAAAAAACTTTGTATAGTTTTGCTGGTATTTATGTGAAGTCTTGTTTATTAAGATAAGGTTAGGATACTTTATTAAAGAAACTTGCAGTCTCTCTTGTTTAGTTGACAGCTGCGGTGGAACTTCTTTTAAATAAGCCGTAAATGGCGAAAGAAAACCTATATAAGAGCAATATTTTGTGAGGATATCGTCCAACATTATCCAAAAGCCACACTAATTCTATGTCGATTCTGTAGTAAGTTCAAAAAATCTTTTATTCAGATCTTTTAACTTGCAAATGTTCTTGGACCTTTTAAGGTGATAGGGTTTTGAATATAATTTCCATCCTACTTAGCATAACCCACACTAAACCTCTTTTTTCTAATGCATATGAACTCAAAAACTTAGTCATTTTACTTTAAATGACTTCTAAATTTATTCAACTTATTATACGTACCGTTAGAATTGATAAAGAGTAACAAATTATTGAGATATTGTAAGAAATCTAACACTGCTTCTTGAATGCAAATTTGTCCTACAAGTTTCAATTCCGCCCTAACGCATTGAAACGCCATTGCTTTTTCGATGTTTTTCTTCGTTCTACGAATGAAGATAGAAAAAATGAATTTGCTAGGAGCGCTTCTTTTGTTTTGAGAACAATGAGTTTAAATATTCGTACAACGCACTCGTATAGGTTTTGTGTTGTAGTTTATGAGCTAACGCATCGAAACAAACGTATTATTGATTTGTGTACGGTGAAATCATGGATATTATGGATGATTTCTGGTCGATAGAACGGAAATGGGTGATTAAGACGAAGTAGCGACCCACCCTATGATCCAGCGTCCAAAAATCATCGGCAAAATGGCTGAATTGCATTGCCGCTTCAAATTTTCAAGGAATTAAATCTCGCACACTATTGCAATTTCAGGTATGAAATTTGAATCACCATATTTTCTGCATGCCGGCGCCGGTGGTGTAGTGGTAAGCGTGACTGCTTTCTAACACCCCGATGGGTCTGGGTTCAATCCCAGCCGAGGTCGGTGGGATTTTTCTGAGGCATAAAAATCTCTGGTCACGTCTTCCTTCGGAAGGGAAGTAAAGCCGTTGGTCCCGGCCCATGTGTGTTGAATGGGTGCGATATCCTACGCAGGTGTGGAAGCTGCCTTCCTGCACATTCGATTGCCGTCAATGGATGGCAATCGATGTCCATCGGTGATTGGCACTAGATTGCGGAACAGAGACCGACGTTAAATAAAGGAAAAGAGGATATTTTCTGCGTCGCAGCAAACATGGGGAAGTAGTTCATTATGGTACGTTTTCTGGTAGCTAATAATCAGAGCAAGGGCTTACAGATCGTATCACCTTAACTGCAAAGTTAATGGTCTACCATTAGTGAAGGGAGAACAAATAATTACACCCATCGATATTTTACCCTACAACCAATCAGCAAACTCAAGATTGTCTAACTGTTTTGTATAAAAGATTTTTTATTTGTTATATATGTACTCAATTGCTTAATGCTTGCATTATTTCCTAACTTATCACTATATACATAAAAATTCACGGTAAAATCACTAACAATAATTAACAGAATTGAAGCGTT